TGTGCATGTCTCACCAAAATTGAAGGCATGCCTTGAGGCGCGCCTCATTATGTGAGCCTATGGCTCATAGCACCAAATGAGATGTAAGCTTCACTACGAATTTTGAGGCGTGCATCGTATGAACATGTAGACAACAAAGAGAACTAATTATTATCCCAACAAACGTTGCCATAAGATGTTTGGTTGTTCAAAAAGGTAAATTTCGGATGCTGTCATTGCAAACAAGAAGAAAAATATATCATACAACAACAACAACAACAACAACAACAACATCAAGCCTTTATCCCACTACGTGGGGTCGGCTACATGAATCCTTTTTCTCCATTGTGTTCTATTAAAAGTCAAATTCTCATTTAAACCTAATAAAGAAAGGTCATTCCTAATATTTTCTAACCAAGTCTTTTTAGGTCTACCCCTACCTTTCTTAACATAAGTCAAATCTAATACCTCTACTCTCCTAACCGGGTCATCGAAAGGCCGTCGAAATAAAAATCCATAATTACAATTCATGATGTTAAAATATAATATTAGGATTGCAGATAGCACTCTCAAAAGTGGTCAGAACATGTTATTTCATGCTGTCAAAAGATTTGACAATTAATGCCACGCTTCTTGTGTCTAATCTAGATTGCAACCTATTATCAATTAATAAACTCACTTGGTAAAAAAATTATGTTGTTGATTAATTCATAATATTTCACTTTCATGATTTGAACTTGAGATGGATGATTGGAAGTATAGAGATAGATTAGGGCTCTCCCTTGCAAATAATGATCGCTCAACTAAGGTATGGGTTCAACCAATAGGCTGCACATCTATCAAAACCCCCGCTTCAAATTTCTAGCACATTTCAATAATGATGGTGATGTTTGGCTTTGACATCATTGCCTATGATAGATTTTTAAGTATTTCAACACTCAACACTATGATAGAGAATTAATTTTAGTCCAAAATCCATATACTAAAAACTGAGAATGCCAAAGAGTACTTTAAATCGATCTTATAAAATTATCTCCTGCCTGAAATGATTATTCACCAAAGCTCATGTGTTGATGCCACTCAATAATATGAGATTACACATCTGTTAGAGATAGCTAGATCATTTAAGTTCTCTACAAATGATCTCAAGTATCTCAGGGAGAAGCTATTCTAATAGCTATGTATCTGATTAATATAGTGTCTTCAATCGTACTTAACCTTATCTATTTATCTTTTAAGACCAAAATTATTTCTTTTGCTCTCCCAAAAATGAAGAATCATTGAGGTTTAGTTTTCGTTCATATTCATTTTTAGCACATAGCAAATTAGACTCTAAATCTATAAGCGTACTTTTATTGGATTCTACTTCAATTAGAAAGGGCACCAATGCTATTTTTTAACCATTAGAAAATCTTATAATTTAATGGACGTAAGCTTCATTGAACACCTTTCTTACTATAGAAACTTAAATTTTAGAGGGAGAACATTAAAGAACAAGAATTTTGAGGTTGTAACTTATTTAAGCATCCATTATCCTCTCATCGTTTTCTCTTTTGTTTAGCAAACCCTTGCATTCACCATGGGAAAATATTCTACAACAACAGCATCAAGCCTTTATCCCACTATGTGGGGTCGGCTACATGAATCCTTTTTTTTTCATTGTGTCCAGTTAAGAGTCAAACCCTCATTTAGATCTAATAAAGAAAGGTCATTTTTAGTATTTTCTAACCAAGTATTTTTAGCTCTACCTCCATAGGTTAAATCTAATACATCTTCTCTCCAAACCGGGTCATCGGAAGGCTGCCGTTTTATGTGACCAAACCATCTAAGGCGACTCTCTCTAATCTTATCTGCCATTGGAGCTACTCCAACCTTTTCATGTATATTCTCATTTTATATCCTGTATCTAAGAGTAAAGCCACTCATCCACCTGAGCATGCTCATCTCCGTAGCACTTAACTTAATATTATGCTTCTCTTTTAATGTCCAACATTCTGCGCCATAAAGCATTGTAGGTCTAACCACCATCTTGTAGAATTTTCTTTTAAAATTGAGTGATACTTTTCTATCACATAACAAGCCCGATGCATTCCTCCACTTCATCAATCCAACTTGAATTCTACATCTAATATCCCCATATATGGGAAACATTCTAATATAGAAAATTTATTAGGGGACATCCTTTCAGCGAGATAGATTTCCTCCCCCAAGGAAGATAAGGAGCACAAGAATGAGATCTCTCTAAACCTTGAGGATGAGAAAGAACTTGACATAGTTGCGAGTAGACTAGGATGGTGATCCTACATGAGGATGTGCAATCAGCTGAGTATATACTCTCTTGTTGTTGGGATGTGAAGAGAGATGTATGATGATGAGGATGTGATTAGATGGGAATGAAATCAGAAACTAGAGATCACACAAGGTGCAATAGGCTGGAGCGTGATGAGGACATCAGCAGGAGATTTCAGCGCGTTTATCATCGGAGGAATCGTAGATCGACGGCTACGATTTGGAGTATTTATTTATGATGCATTTATGTATTTTATTTTACTTATACTCTGGTTTACCATTGTATCCCCGAGAGGATTAGTTTATGTTGTAGCCACAAGGGTATTTAAGTCTTTGTATTTTCTTTTATTTTGAGGCCTATATATGAGGGCCCTCACTATTGTATGAGATTATTATTATTGATTAAAAATTTCAACACTTGTTTTTTTTTTTCTCTATGGTGAGTTCGAGAAAAAAAGAAGTCCCTAGGTGAGGGCAAAAGCAATACCCACCAACTGCTGCCGGCTTCAGCCGCCGGCTTCACTCCCCAAAATCCCTTCTAGCTGTTGGCCAAGACCCCCTTACACCTCCTCCTAGCTGCTGGCCACCAACCACCTTTCTCCTTCAACCCACTCGCCGAACTCCCTCCCAAACTCCTTCTCAGCAACCAACCATAAACCCTAACCCTAATCCTCACCTAGCCACCGGCCACATCCCTTTCCCCTTGGCTCCACTAATCAACTCATACATTCAAAGCCCTTCCTATTTTAGCCTTCTTATTTTGGGCAACAATCTTAATTCATATTCAAATAAATTTGAATTTGAATTTGTTTCCTAAAATAAGAATCTTTATTTTAGGAAAGTCCCTAGAATTATGCCTATTTGAATTTTAAATTGGATTGGGATTAAACTAATCCTTCATAATTTAAAGTTCTAAATCAATTAAGCCTTGATTTCCCTCCCACAAACCCCAATCCCCCATTCAGCCGTTACATCCACCGACTCCACCTCTGGCTTACTTTTCACTGGGCAATACTGCAGCCGTCTTCTGTCTTTTAGTGGCGTCTTTACGTTTGCTTAAATTATTCTTCCTCTAAAATAACCCTCAAGAGTGAGAACGAGGAGAACACAAGGTGAATTTTCTATTTGTTAACCTGTGGATTTCTGTTGCTTAGGCATATATCTTTACTATAATTTTGTTGTTATTTTAAATTGTCCTTCTAATCTAATTTGTAACCGCATGCCAAAGCACAACAACAACTAAGAATTCCTAGAATCTAATCTTATGAAACATTAATTTTAAAAATTAGGAAGCTTAACAATTTTTTATTAATTTCCTATAATTCTTTTTATGTTTCACATCAGAGCGGCACTTGAGTTAGACATTGGAAACAATGGAACAACAACAACAACATCAAGCCTTTGTCCCACTACGTGGGGTCGGCTACATGAATCCTTTTCGCCATTGTGTCCGGTTAAAAGTCAAATTGTCATCTAAATCTAATAAATAAAGTTCATTTCTAATATTTTTATTTCTTGTGAGAAAGCTAACTAAAAATAAAATCAAAATAAAAGCAAAGGTAATCTCAAAGGGCGTCTTATTTAACATTTCGTTCATTTTGATTTAAGAAATGAATATATGTTTAAAAGGCCTATTGACAATGTGAATCAAATCAAAATTTGTAAAGATCAATAAAATACTTTATTTTTTTATTTATTTTTGATGGGTATAGGGTTTAATGCCAACAAGAATATTTGTAAGCTAAGCTTCTTCATCTATTGTTTTTACTTGGTGAAAGATAAGTAGATTATTGCAACAACCATGTAATGCCATTGATCAAATGAGTAAAAAGTCTCATTAACATATGTGGTAATCCCTTGGCTAGGCTAATTAATTGCAAAGAGCTTAAATTTAAAGCACTTAAATTCTTGCTTCCTGGAATATTGTAAGAAAGGGAAACAAGAGAATATCAATAAGTAAATATGCCTGGTTCTTGTCTTATGTATCTTTCTGTACCAGTAACTACTTGCAGGTGGCTAATTAATCGATAGGAAACTTTGAGACATTAAGGCTATGTGCAACAATATGCTTGGGATCCTTGTTTTTTAACTGATAAAAAGGGGGTCTTCTGTGAAGTGTTAAACAAAGTGGGTTGATTTCTTATGAAATAACATGAATTAATCAGTGATTTAGAAAACCTATTGCAAAGATAATGGAATTATTTAGCTGATCTCAGCTGGTCATTGACATGTAAATTTATTACTAGAAGGTTATTGAAGTGGGAATCTGATCGCTGTTGGTTTTAAGCATGAAATAAGGTACATCATGCAGTATAAATCACATCCCTTTGTACACAGTAGATAAACTCTGTTATGCGAATTTAATGATTAAATACCTTATGTTGTAATTATAGATCAAGTGTAAGAGATTTTGCTATCATATGGCTTGGGAAGGGTTATTGAATGCGCTATGATCATGGATATGAGGGATGCAAGTTCCAGATTAGAACTTGCCATCTCATTGCCACTCTTGGCTAAATACCTGTTTCACAAGCCCCAACCTCTTAATAACAATAGATCTCATGCTTTTATAAAATGAAACTGCAATACTTTAATATTAGCTTCCTGACTTGGAACATAAATCCTTTTTGGATGGTTCTGTGTCTTGCTAGTTAGCATGAGTTATTTTGCTTTTCCAACTTAAAGCTTATTTGAGCCATTTAATGGTTTCTATGTTCATGTGCCATACACAGGCTTGGGTTGAAACTGACATTGGTAGTTATCATGGAGAAACTACTTGTTGTTCAAGGACTGTGGATAGTTTTAGTGGTAGTTATCTTGATGCAAGCTTCACCAGTGCAAGTGTCCCTGATAACAGGCTTGAATCAACATACTTGTATATACAAATGGAATATTGTCCTAGGTATGCATCTTTTACCTTCATTGAGTATTTTCTATAAATTGTTACAAGATTGTTGAAAACTAGTGACATCAAAATATATATTTACTTAAAGATTATAATGTGTTATGCTTCTATAAGAAAAATAGAGGACATGCCAACAATATCTATTGATGGATTACAAAGTGATTATGCTTCTATAAGAAATATTAGAGCTAATCAAGATGAACAATTTATATGAGTCACCATTTTCAATTTAATTGTGTGCAAAATTTGTACAAATTTAATGATTTTTTTGTTGTGCTAGGGTAAACTTAAATATTATGTTTCTTATATTTGTATTTATTATGCGACTATCAAAACATTGCTTGGGATTTCACTCGAACAAAATTTTAATCTTTGATTTTAAAGAAAATTCCAACCCGTAGTTATCTATTCCGACTGTTAAGTTATTCGTAGGAATTCCTTTCCTTTCATTTCAAAGCCAAGTTATAAGTCTGCATTGGTTATTCTTTTATATTTAATGACCACGCCAATAGGCCACAACCATGTATGCATAAATCCAAACTTCTTTGGAAAGTGGAAACTATTTAGTCATAACCCCCTCAATTATCTTAGAGAAGCCCAAAGGAGCCTTCATCTTGTTGCCCATCCAAGTCTTCTATCTTTACTTCTCCCTTTTATAACCACCATACCACCCAAATATGTTTTTCTTTGAGAAGAAATAAAATTCTCTCTTTTATTTCACTTATCTTGATTGGTCACCATTAGACAAGAGATGGATTTCGATTTACTGTTCATAGACCAACAATAGTTATGAATGAGCCACTACAACTTTGTTTTTTCCTTCCAGGGTATGGGCTACAGGTTTTACAACCGATTGAATTACATTATATGTGATCAATAGTTCCGGGGATCATTGTTCATGAGGTATTAAGTGAGAAATAAGTGGAATTAGGCAAAATGTTATCTTACCAGATAAAGTCAATGCACGTGTATAGAATATATGGTAAGTGAGTTGAGAAGTTTTCTGCATTTGTCAATTTCTTTCTTCTTAAATCTCCATCTTCACTGTAATTAGGTTTATCAAGTTTGTCCCATTACCGTTAATGAGGTTGTTTGACTTTTCTGCCCTTAAAATCCTTCATTTTATCTAGGAAAATTTGCTTTCTATGGAGCTTAATGTAGTTCTCTCTCATATGACAACTTTTTTCAGTAGCACATTAGGTGCCTTCTCGTTTTATGGATGATATATACTATTGATATTAGATCAAGTAAATTATGAATCTCCTCATTCTTTATGTATGTTAGTTATGTAGACATTATTAGAATAATTCTATGTGAGGCATGTCTTTTTCATTATCTTATATAGACTTAGAGTTTTTATTTGTTTACTATCTTTGAGATTATAATTGTTGTTTTTTCTTTTATATATGTTAAACAGTCTATAATTTTAAAATATTAGTTTGCTGTTTTAATGCTTAAGTCATATTATTGTTTAGATATTCTCTTTTCAAACTACGAGTAAATTGGTTAACATATGGAGTTGATACATAGCAACATGCCATCCGTTAAAGGTTTTGAATACATTACAATTTTTTTAGTAATATTTAATCTTAAACAACATGAATATATAGTAATTTAAATAAAAATCAATTGCTCATATGGAGCATTACACGTGATATTCTAAAACAACAAAGCTTAGGCTCTTACATGCGGCACGAGCAATTCCTCATTGGAGAGAGGGATTCACTTAAATATCGACATTGTTTTCTCAGTTCTCTTATGAATTTCTGAAAAATTTCGTCTCATCCATGAAGAAAAATGCTGTTTATCCAATTCTAAATTATTAATTGCTATTTACATCAACCTTTAAATAATGAAAAAAATACTTGGCTAGAGGAGGGTGGGAGATTTGGTTTGACTAGAGCAGCCTTTATCAGGTATCTGTCCTAATTTTATGGGCAAGTCTTCGCAAATGAGACAGTGATATGATGTGGTACTTTTGAAACATACATGACACTAACTTACAACATTTTAGTTTTAAGTTAACAAATTTAACGAGTGTACTGGTGTTATTTGCTACTAATTCTTCACGCTTTTTTTTTGCTTATAACATTGGTTTTAATCTTATATTAAGCATTCCTCTTGAAGGACTTTGCGCCAGGATTTCGAAACATATGTTACCTTTGACAAGGACTACGCCTGGCATTTGTTTCGCCAAATTGTGGAAGGCTTAGCTCATATACATAGCCAGGGAATCATACATCGTGACCTCACTCCTAGTAACATATTCTTTGATGCTCGCAATGAAATTAAAATTGGAGATTTTGGCCTTGGTATGCTATTGTTTTATTAATTTCTTGTAATTTATCTTTATTGGTGATGCAGAAGAAATTTCAAGCTTAGTTTCCCTAATTATAGTGCTGAAATAATGTCTTTGCTGTACTTACATTTATATAGCATTTCAAATGAGAAGAGGACCGAATTGGTCCACAAGCTTTGCTGTACTTACATTTATACACATTTAATTTCACCTTTCTTCATTGAACTCTCTTACCATTCAAAATCTCTCATTTATCTTGATCTGTTATGAACGGAGAAATCCTTTCTAGTACATTTCTGTCGTATCTGTTAACCTTATTTTTTTTCTTTCAAGTTAAATTATTGGTAAAATTCCATCATCTTTCAATGTAATCAATTAATCTTGCTTTTCATGGGCTCAGCTAAGTTTTTAAATCTAGAGCAGCTGGATCATGATCAATATTTTCCTAATGAAACTAATGGAGTTTCAATGGATGGAACTGGTCAAGTTGGCACATATTTCTATACAGCTCCTGAGATAGAACAGAGATGGCCACAAATAAATGAGAAGGTATATTCCCTTTAAAATTTCGTCTACTAAAGTAGTCACAGCAAAAAAGATGGGGCATATTTGTTTTTTTAAATCCGAGCTGTTGTAAAGAAATGAAGTTCTGCCACTTAGTATCGCTGCTCTCTGTCTTCAAGTTGTCTGGCTATCTCATAGGTTGTGATATACCTGTTATCAACATTTTTTTTAATTTACAGGTTGACATGTACAGCCTAGGAGTGGTATTCTTTGAGCTGTGGCACCCCTTTGCAACTGTAATGGAGAGACACATTATTCTTTCAGATCTGAAGCTGAATGGCGTTCTTCCTAAGCCCTGGGTTGCAAAATTTCCAAAGCAATCAGCTATTCTTCAGCGTCTTATGTCCCCAGGCCCAGCTGATCGTCCATCAGCTACTGATCTTTTACATCATGACTTGCCTCCTAGAATGGAAGATGAGTGGCTAAATGGTAAGAATTTTTTTCCTTATGTTTTATGGCCATATCATATTTTCTTTACAGCAGGACAAAAGTTGTGCACTTAGGAAACGATATTTTTCTCTTAAAATTTTGAAGGTTACAATGAACTTTTTTTCATGACTTTCACCGTAACTTTGCTTAATTTATAAGAATAAGAAATGATGTTGACTTTTCTGATAAGGGAATCATTTAGGCTTGATTAATATTTAGTTGTATTTTTTCTTTCAGGTTTAGCTCTCAATTCACATTTGTTGGAGAAATATTGTCATCCTCAAACGGAATGCATGTTTCATGATCGATTATGGCATACGAAATATGATATATTACCCCGAAGGATAAAAATCATTTACCTTATGGACTCAATAATAAAATTTACAATTTTAATAGAGATTCCCTTATTCAATATTTGGTTGAATGGGTTTTATTTTATTATGGGGTATGGAAGCCGCCCCATAGGGTAAGCCCCTATGATTAATTACATCTCAAGCTTTGGACGCTGGAGAATACTTTTGATTAAACTAGTAATTTTTTTTCTTTTGAAGATCATTTAAATATTGGCTAAGATTTGATTTTAAAATCTATGAAATTTTTGTTTAAAAGAGTTTTAATCTTTAGGAATTTAAAGGAAAAGGGGGGAATCAACTTGAAATCAAATTTCTTGAATAAGAGCTAAAGGAGGGAAGTAGGAACACTTGATTCTGAGAAATCGTAGAGGTGCTCGGGCTATCCTATGTTGGGCTTTACATTTTAGAATCTAATTTTTGTTTAAGTTGACATTTTCATTGATAATATTAGGGCTTATATTCCAACAACATGAGTTAGAGAAAATATCTGGAAGGTGAAGGCTTATAAGATGATTGAAATCAACCAATGCCTCGGACCTTAGAACTTTGGTGAGAACTACTAAGGGGTAGTGTCTTGAACCTAAATCTAACGAAGTGCAAAGGACTTACAAACTACACCTCACTTGAGGCATAGCCAGCCCGACATCTGGATTTATTGCCATACCTGGAAAGTCCTGCCTGGAAAGGGCTACCAGCTATACCTATGTAGTCGCTTTTAAAACTATTAAGACTGGTCTCTATACATATAAAGATTAGGAAGATTATTTTTATTTAGAAAGTAAGGCTTACAACTTGGCTTTTAGACCAAGATGTTTAACCATGAATGATATGCAAAATGCTGACTCACAAATGCAGATTTTTTGTTGTTTGATCCTAAGTGAAGTCTGTTCTATATGAAGCTTACTAGGCTATGCATGATCATTTTTATTTTGGAAAACTTGCTCCTTGAAGGGAGCAATATAATTTTCTTTTAATTTGAAAATTATGAAGCCTAAATTGATTTAAGGTTATTTATATTTTTAACAGGTAGAAATCATAATTTTATCTTAAGCGCCTTTCGTATCAAAAGTCCAGGCCACCCTAAACAAAACAAGAGAATAAACCTAGGAAAAAGTATGCAATTATATTATGCACCCAGTAAACAATTAATACATGGCAAAATGTAAATAATGTCTTAGTTATTATAATCAAATTTTGCAGCTGAGTTGCCTGCCATTATACAACCAATCAAATTTTATTATAAACTTTACTTATGGGCGATCTTTAAGCTTTTGACTTCTAAGTAGACACTGGGCTTCACCTTCAACAGGTACATCCTCTTGAAATACCTCTTTTAACTGAACCTCACAAGTTAAAAATGCAACCTAAGTCTAATCAAATATATTTTAAAAAAGATAGACTCAAAGCTGCAAAAGGGTCATAAAACAATTTATAATAAGTATGCCACATTCAGACTTTTATTTAGCATCTAAAGTGCCAAATACCTGTTTCTAGCCTATTGGCCACATCTCTTTGGGGAAGGGGGGGGGCTACCCTATTGGGGGAAGGGGGGGGGGGGGGTTAAGCAGCATCTATCATGCAAGTATTTTTATATTTATTATTTATTTACACCCCCTTTTGTACATGGCCATCTACATGAAGAAAATGTATATATTTTTATATTATCCACTTAAGGGCAAGTGCCTGTGCACACAATGCAGACAATCCAAAGACAATCACACCAAATCATCAACCACATGTGCAGAAAAAAATCCTAATCTTAGAATGCCTAAGGGTTGTGCACCTAAGTGTGTGAGACTTATATGGCATGTCACACTTACTGCGAATCTGATATCAGGAAATATAATTTTGGTGATAGAAAATATTTCTGTTTTTCTACGACTGCCTTGTCTACTGACGTTTCAGGTCCATAAGATCGAATTGCAAATCGAACCAGCTCAATATTGGGTAGATTAGGACTGAGTCAGTTTGTAACGTGCGTCAAGTGTCTTTTACCCTTTCTTGAGTCAATTGTAAAAGTTGTGGATCCTAATGTTAAGTAACATTGCACACACACTTGAGGAAAAAATTCTGTCTGTTGGTTAGAGTTTTCTGTTTTGATCACATCGTCCGAGACAATCCAAAAATCGTCCTGGCGATCAGTTAAAAACAGAAACCTTAATTAGGGCATCTTGATTAAGGCAGCCGCAACTAAGAGAATCGTCCTGGATGATATTTGCATCGGTTGGGATGATAGTCTCAAATCAGAAAGAATCAACCGCCATACCTTTTTAGACATCTTTTATTTTTGGACATCGTCCTGAACGATGCAGCACAATTATGCTTAAATTAATCTGGTAATTAAGAAAATAATTAAGGTTTGATTGCTCGATTATATCGTCTTGGACGATCGCAGGATCATCCGGGACGATCAGTTAACAAACCTTAGTTCTTCCTAGCGAACAAAAATCAGCTTGGTTCCATTCAGGGCAAAGCTCTATACAATATATACTGAATTGAACTAATTGTCCGAGGCGATCGGGAGATCGGCCTGGACGATCAAATTATTTTTTCATCGTCGAGACATCCATTCAGGGAAATGTTCTGGACGATATTCGTCGATTTATACTAATCGGCTCGGACGATCTAGGTATTTTTCCATCGTCTAGACATCCATCCAAAGCGATGGTTTAGACGATATTCGACGACTTGGACTAATCGTACAGGACGATATACTATCGTCCGGGACGATATAAACAAAGTAACATTCTAATCGTCCAGACTCTTCCAAATTGTTCTAGCTGATTGAGCTAAATTTGAACTGATCGTACGAGATGATATTTGACGATTAGTTGCTAATTAGGGCTATTTTGGAGCCATTGTTTAAAAGATCTTCTGTTTTCTCAAGAGAAGATCTTTTGCTGCTGTCCTGACCTGAGAGAGCCAAGAGGAGAGGGAGAGCAAGGGAGAGTGAGGGAGGATCTTGTGAGGGGGAGTTTTTGAGGGGATTCACAAATGTTGCTCTAAGTAAGGATCCGAGTCATCTTCTTCGGTCGTCATCCCTGGTTCCGTAGAGATTCGGGAGAGGTTTACTTCGGCAACTGATCAAGGTTCTCTGCCTGCTTTTGGAGGAAGCAAAAGGAGTTGGGTTCTCTGCATGCTTCAAGAAGAAAAAGAGTTGGGTTCTCTGTCTCACTAGGGTTGGTGGAAAGGAGTTTGTGTATGGGCTTCTCCGCCTTGCTGTGGGGGGCAAAAGGAGAGACACCGAGTTTAGTGTAATACTCGGAGAGTGCTTCCGGGGAGTGGACGTAGGTCAAGTTGACCGAATCACTATAAAATATGGTGTGTTCTTTCTTATTATTGCTTCCGCATTTAATTTATGCATTTTGTTTCTCTTGTGGTGAATCTTGGTTTGGTTGTGTTTGTGTTTGGAGAAAATTATAAAATACCAATTCACCCCTCTTGGTTAGCCTCGGGACTAGTTCATAAGGGCTTAACATCCCTAACGAATTTTCAACACTAAGTGTGTTTCACTTAAAGTTTGAGTCTAAAAGAAAGGTGTCCAACATCAATTTTTGGGCTAAGTGTTGAAGAATTCTCTTATTTTTTGGAGCTAAAAGGAGAAATAAATAAAACTTATAACTTGGTGGCTAAGAGTTGGAAATTCTCTAAGGCTTTTGGAGCCCATAGAGAAGCGGGATGACTTGTAGTAAGGCTTGAAGTCAAGAGGTCTCTTTGAATTTTTGTATTAAAAAAGAAGGATATATTTGCTTAATTTGGATTAAGCAAATGTAAGATGGGTCACCAATCGATTTGCAAATCAATCAGAATTATCATTTAATCTCATGTTCAATGATAGATAATTGGTTTGCTAAATATGTATAAAGCAATCATAGGAAGATGATATGTAAGCTTGATTACACATCATGAAGGACTCTTTGGATTTTTGGGTGTCCAAAGAAAAGTGTTATTCATCCAACTTGGGTTGGAAGAATAAGAAAGAATACATGATTTATATTCCCATGGTTGAAGTATAAATATTTGTTGATTTTGGGTTCAACAAATAAATGATTTGGTATAAATTTGATTCACTCAATATGGGTTGAGTGAATGTAGAGAATCTTCTACAACTTTTGAGTTGTAGTAAAAAAAAGGGATATGCAACTTGGGTTGCAAATTCATGAATGTCTTTGGACATTTTAGTGTTCAAGAGAGTGTTTTACCTTACAACTTGGGTTAGAAAGTGTTGACCAATATATAATACCCAAAGGAAATAAAAATGAAATCATACCTCTGCTCTGTTAAATCCTGAAATCCCGCAAGAAATCCCGCTCCGTACCTCGTATCCGTCGAAGACATCCGCGAATCCCGCTGAATCGGCGTCGCTCCAGTCGTTTCTCCGCTATTCCCGCGACAGTTCCTCGATCGCTACATCATTTGAGTCGTTAAATAGAAGCCGAAGCTCTCCCGATCTTGGCTGCTCTTTCACGCTCGGTTCCACTCACGATCCCGCTCCCGATATCTCCTCCTCCGGTCGAGACAGAGAAACAGAGAGAGAGAGAGAGAGAGAGAGAGAG